ATAGAATAAAATACAATTCATGTCACCAAGTCAAACAGAGTTTTAAAATCAAAATAATATTAGAGATGCTTTAAAGCAACCTACTGATGACTTTCCTGAATGATTAGATCCACATAACACTTACCATGCTGATTTTCATAATCCTCTGTATGCATATCTTTCTTCCCTGGTAGTGCCAGGCACAAGGAGTCATCAGTGAATGTCTGTGGAGTGAATGAATGAATGAATGAAGGAAGGAACGATTCTTCATTGTGTAAAGTGGAACAAGTATTTGAGTCTGGTAACTGGATATCTATTTGTGAACATGGAAAGTAATTGAAGCTATTTTCGAAGATTTGCTTTTCTTTTTTTTCAAGGTTCAGGTTCTGACTTGAAACATTTGGAATGTTTGAGAAAAATCGAGCAGCTCTTTCTTTTCCCAGAAATAGGGCAGACATCATTGGGCATTCCCAGCCCAGGAGAATTACAAGGAAAGCAAGAAGGGAGAAAAACAAGGAGTTGCGAGGAGGTAGCCTGGAGGAGCAAGTTCACACCAGCCAGCCCTGCACCGTAGGGTCTGCAGAGGTCACGCTCCTACCGAACCTTTTCTCGGTGCTGGAGAGGATCAAGTGTGTTCTATTAGAAATGCTTCTGGGAATAATAATTTCTGTTTTGAAGCAGGGGGGAAATTCCGCATTGGATGGATTATGTAGAGAATAACCTTCTTATTGATTTTTCTTTCTAAATCTGCATTCTGACAGGTTGACCTTAGGAAAAACACCAGAGGAAATGCAGTATTTGCTCCCCTCTCTTTTTTTTCATTTCCTTATTTTTTATTCATCTTTTTGATGAAAATACACTTATGATTACAGGTTTCCAAGAAAAACAAGTTAACAGGGAGTAAGATAGGAAGACTAGGGAAAGCCTACCAGCTGATTATTATTAGGCTTGACCTGATTTCAAGGTATGGCTGATTTTTTTACTTCATGAGGTTATATCATTTAGTACGTTCTAGTAACGTGTACTCAGTGTGGAAATGTCCCCTCTGCCTGCTTTGATTGTGTCACGGATGCCTCAGTGTCGGTGGGGTGCTTTCAGCAGCACCTAGTAGGTGGAGAATGCCATTGAAGAAGTGAATTCATTATCTTGGTAACAAGGCAACAACCTCTATGAAAGTACCTGGTTTGTATCATGAAAGTGTCTCACTCAGTCGATATAGAGTCCAAAAGTTATTCTCCAGAGCCAGCTTAATGCTGTTTTAGAGCATTATTGCGCTGATAAAACCTTGACTAAAGCTAGGACGGGCACTTCATTTTCTATTAACTTTTTTAAAAATCTCCTTTCCTGCCAGCACCAAGCCTGTCATAAACACTTAATACATATTTCTCATGAAGAAAAATTAAGAATACTTTTGTCCTGATCATTGGAACGATAGAGGACAGTTTAGGTGAACTTCTTCCTTGATTTCCTTACCTTTTAGGATTCTGGCAGAGTGTTTGGGGCCTCTGTTCCTGGCTTTCTCTTGCAGGTGGCAAGATCTTACTTACCTTATAGCAGCACGGCTTTTGCAGAACTAAAGCTTTTAAGGGCAGGCACAGAAATTTTTAGACGGTAGTGAGTTTCTCTATGATTTCGTATAATTAATATAGACACAAATTATCTTGTATTTATCCTTTCTTTTCGTTTTTGTGATGTCATTTAACAAAGAGACTAGCAGATCCCATCTATGGCTGCACATTAGTAGCACTTTTAAAAAATACCCATGCCTGGGTCTCACCCAGAGTTTCTGACTCAGTGGACCTGAGTTGGGCCTAAGCCTATGGGCTTTAAAAGCACTGTGGGCGATGCTAATATCCAGCCAGGCATGAGAGCCACTGAAATAGAACATTGACTTTGTCTCACTTGCCTTTTTCCTAAAGATGTATTCCAAGTTTCTAATAGATATATAGTTGCCTCTGAGAGTTAGGGACCTCATTCCGCCTTTCCTTTACCTCCCTACTCCACTCCCTTTCTAGGGCTTTATGTCCAGCCTCATGTCCACTGGAGCCTCTGCAACCTGAGAAAGTCAGAATTCACAAACCTGCACTGCTGTTCCATCCACTCGAGAAAAGGAAACAATTGGAAGAGACAGAGGACATACAGTTGTTAGATTTCTCA